ATGAGGCATGGCTAAAATGCATGATCTGTTTGGTATTTTGAAAAATAAAACTTATAAATATACCTTATATAGGTATGGCCCTACAATATATTATTCAAATATAGCATGATAGGTCCCCTTTAAGAGAAGCCACTTTTCTTGATTATTGGCTGATCAAAACTGTCTTTAATGATTTGGTACCAAACCATAACTTGCTAGCTAGCTGGCCAACACACGTTTAAGATACTTAACAGTTCAGCAGGATAATCTCCACATATTAACACATTTTATAATTTTTGAAGGGTGAAGCTAACATTAGGCTATTAACAAATTACATCAGGGTCGCATCACAACTGCAAAGCTAAAGGCGTTTAGTAGTAGTCTCATTTAGTCACTCACACATTGAAACTGAAGAGATTCATGAGTCCTGTATGTACTGACGTATTTTATGTCGCAGAAGAAAACGTGAAAATCTCTTTTGCTTGTGGTAACCTTATTTCAGGCTTCTTACCAAAAATAAGTTTCAAAAACCTTTGACTAGGGCTAAAATGCTAACTCAATTCCGGGTTTTGGTACCAACACTGCACGACTCTATTCTGATTCAAATCATTCAAATAGGAATCTCTCCTATTATGTTTCTATGGTCTGTGTCCTCCCTGTGCATGCATGCGTGAGACAGGCAGGGTTAGACTTACATCTGTGCACCTATATCTTTATTTTTCTGCTCGCCCACACACTAACACAGATCTGCACCTGCGACAGTCGCGGGGTGCTAACTGCAGTTACCTCGCCTTCGGCTGCCAGCGTGGATCTAATGTACTGTTTTGGCTGTACATAAACGCGCTGTTTTTCTTCTTATTCTCTGTGCTCTGTCTCTCACTCCTTTCATTTCCACTGCCTTTGTGGAGGTAATCATCTCTTAGGCTGCGTAAAGGGAGACAGAGGAAGAGAAAGTGATAAAGAGGGAGAGTTGAGAGGCATCAAAGAACAGGAAGAGAGGAAGGGAGGGAAAGCAGGTGTAGGATGTCGGCTGGAAATAATAGGCGTGCGTATCTCGGGGCAATCTGTGTTATTCATATTTTATGCTGTGGTGTTGCATATAGTCTGCGGAGTTCCTTTGTATACCGTAACCAGTGTTATCACAGCTTACAGGTGCATTTGATCAGGGCTGGGGGTCATGAATTAATTGGTATATCAATATAAAATAATTCATTCAAAGTGTACAATCTCAGTTCTTTCTGTCTGACTGAGTTTAAGAATTACTCATAATGAATTGGTGGATTCAAAATCATGGCTAAATGGATATAGAAATTAGGATTGTGAAATAAGC